GAGAGTCCTGCAGGCCGCGCCTGGGGGGAGCGGGCAGCGCAGCGGCGGGAGGGTCCCGCGGGCCGGGTGTGCGGACGGCAGGAGGGGTGCTGGCTGGGAGGAGGGTCCTGCGGGCAGGCCGGCAGGGAGGACAGGGGCCCGGTGTGCGGAGGACGGGGCTCGATCTGCGGGCTGGGCCCGGGGAGCAGAGGGGGAGGCGGCGGCGTCGTCCCTGTCCAGCCCGGGAGGCCCCGCGAGTGGCCCGGGGCTCCCACAGTTTCCATCCAGAGCCTCGCTGCGCTGGGCGCTTGCACACCTATTTACCGTGCCGAGTAGCATTATGTAACACACACACACTATCTGTTTTGTCAAGACAGGAAACTCCCTGTTAATAGGGATGTGCTTTCGAGATTTCCTAACGCGAAGCTCTGGCAGAACTCTGGCTCGCTGTGCAGCGTTTTTGCGAGGCCGGCCGGCTGAGGGTTGGGTGGAGAAATGGCCTCGGGACAGCCAGCTGTTCCTGCAGAGTTAGGAGGAAGGGGCCGGGGCTGCCTGCAAAGAAGCAACTTTGTGGAGGTGGAACTTGCCCGCAGTACAGCTCTGCATAGGACGAGGTGGAGTTTTGAAAGATGTATCCACAAACCTCCTCTTCCTCCACTTGCCATCACCCCAGAACATTGTCTCCCGCTGTGGGTCTATTTTTAAGTGTTTGTCACTCCTTAAAATATAGTTTATAGGATCCGTGGTCTGTGTCCTTATTGGAGCTTGCCCTCACCACTGCTTAGAGCTTTTGCTTGGGCCCAGGCTGGTCACCCCTGCTCTGCTGGAGGCCGTGTGGTGCTGCATGAAGTGTCTGCACTTCCTGTTCCCACTTTTCTGCAGGGCAGGCAGGGAGCAGTAGTTTGAAGACAAGGGGCCAGAGGCCAGTCTGGCAGTGCCGGACGGCAGTTACTTCACGAGGTGTGCACACTGGTCCTTGGTGGCCCCCTCCTTGCTGTGATGCTGGGCCCTGTCCAGGGGGTCGGTGCTGAGATCAGGGGCGGGGCCCATGGTGCTGGGAGTGGAAGCCAGGAGGCCTGCGGCTGGCCGCTGTTGGACTGTGCCTCTGCTTCCTCGGCATGGCATCTTGCTTCTTGCCCGGGGATTAAGTCCTGGGATGGGTGCAGAGGGAGCGGCCCACGAGGCCGCTGGGGCCTTTAGATCTGAAGGCCTTTTATGCTGAGCGCCTTGACGCTCCGCTGGGGAGGAGCAAATGTTGGTCTGGTGAGTAACCAGCTGTTACGCCTGCCCCACCTCCGTAATGACACGGGGTGCTGTCCCTGGGAGGGCCCCTTGGAGGCTGTGATGATGCTCACCTTGGGTGGGAGGTTGGGCCACTGCTGGCCGAGCCCCTCTCGTTCCACTCGTGGGTGGGCTGGGTGAGAACTCTTCTGACACTTCAGGGGGTCCCTGGTGATAGGTGAGTTGTTGTGTCTGCCCTGTCTGCAGAGACTGTCCCAAAGAGGATCCCTGTATCAGCACCTGCGTTACCCGTTGGGCAGTGGGGCCCAGCTAGGTTAAGAGAGGTGCCCCCTCTCCCATTGAGGCCCTTGTGGGGCATTTGCAGGCTGTCTCTTCTGTGAGGACGTGAGATCACTCTTGGGGAGATATTAGATCAAGGGTTCTAATCCCCCAGTGATTCAGGAGTCGGGGCTCCAGCCTGGGAGTACGGATGGAGGGATGCTTGGAGTTGGAACTAACTGAGTATTTCAGTTTCTTGGGGAGAAGCAGGTGATCTTCCTAGTAGGCCCACTGAGATTCTGAGGTGGTGATTCAGATGCCCTAGAAACAGCCGTCCGGCTTGGGGAGGGCCATGCTGGCTCTGTCCATCTCTGAGCAGCACACATTCTTACCATTGTCACCAGTGTTGTTCCTGCAGGGTGAGGTGGTCTGCAGGGTAAGGTGGCGGGGCTCTACTTGGGGAATGCTGAGGTGCCTGTGGTCACCTGTGCTGTACCCTCTGGATGAGGCCACAGGGCTCTGGGGGACATGAGGCTGCCTGTGGTCACCTGTGCTGTACCCTCTGGATGAGGCCACCTATGGTCATCTGTGCTATACCCCCTGGGTGAGGCCACGGGGCTCTGCTTGGGGGACATGGGGATGCTTGTGGTCACCAGCCCTGGTCCTTGGCTGGGTGAAGCTGCAGGGCTCTGCTTGGGGAGGCCCAGGCTCCCAGGTGACTTGAGAGGGTGGCCATGTCTTCCACACCTGCGCACAGTGCCGTCTCCTTAGGAAATGCAGGAGGGGGAGACCCCACTTCACCTCCCCAAGCCTGGGGCTGGGAGCGGGGTCTCCTGTGGGCCCTCAGGGTAAGGACAGTCTCCTGGTGCTTCCCAAGACTGCCCTCTGGGGGCCTGGTGTGGTGTGTGGTCCTGTACCTCCAGCCACTTGAGGACAGGTGGGCTGGCCACTGGGCTTCTGGCCTGTTGTCACCATGCTCACCTGTCACTGGATCCACACAGACGGGGATGCTGTGCAGCCTCTGACTGCTGGTTTGGCAGAAGCATGGGGTGTCCCCCTGCTGCCTCTCCTGGTCCCATCATTTCTGGTCTTGGGGGTCACCGAAGCTGGAGAGGGCAGTGGAGGAAGGTATCACCACGTCCAGAGGCCTGGGGTGGGTGATCAGAAAGCCTCAAGTGTCTGGAGGACACTGGGTCAGGGGGATGGCTGGAGAAGGTTGAAAGTAGGCGCACATCCCAGGTGGGTGATGTGTGTGGGTTAGGTACGTGTCCTGCCTGGTCTGGTCCCAGGAAGGTCTGTCTGCCCTATTCAGGTGGCCTCGGGGGCTTGGGTATGCCAGGACAATGTGGGCTTAGAATCCGTGGAGCAGTAGAGGGTGGTCTTGGGTGGCCCCTGGCAGTGTGGGCTGGTGGTGGTCTTGGGTGGCCCCTGGCTGTGTGGGCTGGTCTGGTTGTCTCGAGTGGCTCCTGGCTGTGTGGTCTCAGGTGGCCCCGGCAGCGTGGGCTGGTGGTGATTTTGGGTGGTCTGGGTGGCCCCTGGCAGTGTGGGTTGGTCTGGGTGGTCTCAGGTGGCCCCTGGCAGTGTGGGTTGGTCTGCTAGTCTCAGGTGGCCCCTGGCCACATGGGCTGGTGGTGATTTTAGGTGGGCTGGGTGGCCTGAGGTGCTCTGTGCACATACACTGACTCTCGCCTCTGTGTCCAGGTGACCATTACCAAATGAGGAGGAAAGGACGATGCCATCGAGGACCTGCAGCCAGGCCCCCCTCCTCCCCGTGCAGTGTTAAGCACTCCCCGACCAGAGAGACGCTGACCTACGCCCAGGCGCAGAGGATGGTGGAGATCGAGATCGAGGGGCGTCTGCACAGGATCAGCATCTTCGACCCTTTGGAGATCATCCTGGAAGATGACCTCACGGCTCAGGAGATGAGCGAGTGTAACAGCAACAAGGAGAACAGCGAGCGGCCGCCGGTCTGCCTGAGAACTAAACGGCACAAGAACAACCGTGTCAAGAAGAGGAACGAGGCCCCGGCCGGCGGCCCCGGCGCCATGGCCTCGGCCAGCGCCCTGCCTGAGCCCCGGGTGCGCATCGTGGAGTACAGCCCCCCGTCGGCGCCCCGGCGGCCGCCCTCCTACTACAAGTTCATCGAGAAGTCGGCCGAGGAGCTGGACAACGAGGTGGAGTACGACATGGACGAGGAGGACTACGCCTGGCTGGACATCGTCAACGAGAAGCGCAAGGGGGACTGTGTGTCGGTGGTCTCCCAGCACATGTTCGAGTTCCTGATGGACCGCTTTGAAAAGGAGTCGTACTGCGAGAACCAGAAGCAGGGCGAACAGCAGTCGCTCATTGACGAGGACGCCGTGTGCTGCGTCTGCATGGATGGGGAGTGTCAGAACAGCAACGTCATCCTCTTCTGTGACCTCTGCAACCTGGCCGTGCACCAGGAGTGCTACGGGGTGCCCTACATCCCTGAGGGCCAGTGGCTGTGCCGCCACTGCCTGCAGTCCCGTGCCCGGCCCGCGGACTGCGTGCTCTGCCCCAACAAGGGAGGTGCCTTCAAGAAGACGGACGACGACCGTTGGGGCCACGTGGTGTGCGCCCTCTGGATCCCCGAGGTCGGCTTCGCCAACACGGTCTTCATCGAGCCCATCGACGGCGTGCGCAACATCCCGCCCGCCCGCTGGAAACTCACCTGCTACCTCTGTAAGCAGAAGGGCGTGGGCGCCTGCATCCAGTGCCACAAGGCCAACTGCTACACGGCCTTCCACGTGACCTGCGCCCAGAAGGCCGGCCTCTACATGAAGATGGAGCCCGTCAAGGAGCTGAGCGGGGGCACCACCACCTTCTCGGTCAGGAAGACCGCCTACTGTGACGTGCACACCCCTCCCGGCTGCACCCGCAGGCCCCTCAACATCTACGGGGAGGGGGACACCCGCAACGGGGTCTGTCGCAAGGAGGGCCCGGCCCCGGCAATCAGGGCCTCATCCAAAGTCAGGAAGAAGGCCAAAAAGGCCAAGAAGACGCCGGCGGAGCCCTGCGCGGGCCTGCCCACTGTGTGCGCCCCCTACATCCCCCCTCAGAGGTGAGTGCCGCGGGCGTCCGGGGTGATCTGTGTCACCTACGCCGGCGACACGCCTGAAGGCAGGACCACAACCGGTGCAGGAAGGGCTCCTTGGCCCCAGGCCGTGTGGTCACCACACATCCACTGTTGTCTGCCTTGCCCCTGCCCAGTGGGTCCTTGTTAACCCAGGTCTGTCCAGATCTCTTCTTACCATGTCCCTTCCATGACTGACCTGTCCCTCAGCTCCGGCTCCTCAGCCCCATCCAGGGATGAGTGACCATTTCTGTGTGGGTGAGCGTGTGCCTCGTGTCCCCTCAGCTGTGGAAGAGCAGCACGGAGTGGGGTGTAGAGATGTCTGGAGCCCAGGGGATGAGCAGAGGTGGTGGGATCTGCGGGTGCACAGCTCACACTGGGGTGATGGCCGGCTGTCATCAGGACAGCACGTCTGCTCAGGGCTCACTGTGTGGCGAGTGCCCTGTGTGTGGATGTAAGTCGTGACTGGACAGCATGGTGGGTTTGTGTCACAGTCTGTGGTGAGCAGTTTGCTGAGACCTGCACTCAGGGTCCAGCTGTCTTCAGAGTGAAGAATTTAAAACACTGTAAACAGCACATGCCGATGGCAGGGTGGACTGTGGCCAGTCTGGGACTTGGCTGTGAGGTGACTGTGGGTAATTAGAAAACATGAAGTGTGGAGTGAAGTTTTCAGAGCAAGTGTCTCCGGCCGTGCTGTGCACAGAAGCTGACCCAGTGAAGGGATCCACGTGCTGGTTTATGTGATGGAAACAACTCACCTAGAGAAGTGGGTCTGTCTCAGGTCCATGGGTCACACATGGGACAGAGTCCTCTGTGGAGGCCAGTGGCAGAGAGGTGGCTACTGGTTCAAGAGCCAGAGGTGTGAGGCAGGTGGGGACCCCCGATGGAGAATCAAGCTCCTCTCCTCGTTCACAGAAGACCTTGTCACAGGTGTGGCTGCCTTACAAGTGCCACGCCGGACACTGCAGGCCGTAGGTGAGTAGGGAGCCCCCGTGGGAGTGTGTGCTCCCCGGGGCATGAGGGTCCACTGCATGCACAAACCACTCAATCACGGCTGGACCATTCTTGGCAGGACCCTGCGGCCTGGGTTGTTGGCTGGACGCTGGAGGTCCACCTGTTTTCCTCCTGGCTCGCATTTGCTGGTTGGCGGTCAGATACCCTGAGGTTGTTTGGAGGTCTGCAGGAGCAGGCTTCCCTGCTCTGTGGAGGGCAGGGGTGTGAGGATGGGTGGCTGCGTTACAGTGGCGCGGTGGTGAGGTGCAGGTGGGCACTCTGGCGGCTATGTTGGGCCACGGGAGGCCGGGGGGCACGGGCACTGTGCTTTTGGAGCACAGGAGAGGGAACAGTCTGCTGTAACACGGCTGTAGGTTTGCGTGCCAGGTGAGAGTGTGCACAGCGCTGGGGCACGTACACAGGTGCTCTTATGTGTGGACATGTGCGTGCTCACAGGGCTGCCAGACTGAGATGGCTGATGACTGAGTTTTATCGTGAGTCCTGGCCACTCCTCCCGTGTTTCAGAGGCTGTAGGTTTGCACAGGAGAGCCACCCCTCTCTGAGTTGCAGGTGATGGGAGCCAGCAGAGCAGTGTGGCCTGGGTGGCAGGGTGGTAGGATTGGGCCTTAATGAGATGATGGTAGGCTTGGGATTTTTTTAACGCTGAGCACCTTTGGCCACAAAGCTGGTTCTGCTTTCTGTGTCCATCTACGTCCTCTCCAGAGGATGCCCCCTGGTCAGGGAGGTTGGTGTGGGTTCGTCCAGTCCCACGCTGAGACCCAACTCCTCCGTCCCTGCGGGGGCAGGTGCTTTGTCAGCCGCCTAGTTTGTGGTGGTCAGTGTGAAGGACCTGGTTGTGGCCCTGAGGCCCCTGGCTTGCTGTCTGCCGGGGAGCCTCACCAGTTGTGGATGGACAGTTGTTCTCTGTGTTCACGTGTGTGCGTGTCTGCTGAGGGGGGGACACTGACCACAACACTTGGGGACAGTTCACAGGTGAGTGTGTTTGCTCGAGGGACACAGACGCTGTGATCCCTGCGGAGTGCTCTGTGCCCCTCACGGTCTCCTGACTCAAACCACCAGCAGTCCTGTCGTGTTGGTGGACGGGTGTCTGCGAGACTGTCCCCTGGCCCACAGGTGGACTGTGTGCAGAAACTGCGGTAACAGACTTCCAGAGGGGTTGTCCCAGCCTCACAGCTCACAGCTGCAGCCGCCTGGGCCCCTTGTGAACACAGGTGGTGCCAGCAGGTGGGGTCTGGTCTCTCGGACCATGGACCTGGGACAGACCCAGCAATCAGGAGCCCATCCTGGACAACTCCAGGAGCAGGTGACCACCTGTGGGAGCTCTGTGGGCCCTGCTGTTTCAGCCTTGGGGCATCCACACCCTCTCCCACAGTGCCTCCCTAGTGCCCCTCTGGCAGGCTGCCGGGGCTGTGGACTCTGGTCAGGTCGAGCCCGTGGGAGGTGGCTGGGCCCCGGGGTGGTGGTGGGGGATGCCAGCCACTCCCTCATCGGGTCCGTGGTTCCATGTGCAGGACAGAGGGTTCTGCTTGCCTTGTGGGCCAGGAGCAGAACATACCTGCGACGTGTGCATGTTGGTTTGCTGACCACGAACGTGGTCTCATCCTGTGCTCTGTGCGGGTCAGTGGACAGTGCTGCTGCCCCGGGAGCAGCGTGGGGGAGAGGTTCTGACCCTCGGCTCTCGCCCTGGGAGGGCCGGTCTCCTGGAGCTCCTGTGCCATTCTTGTGGGCAGTGGCCACATTTGCTGTCAGTCTAGCCCCAGGTCTCATTCCCTGAGGTCACAGGGGTCCTGCAACCCCCTGTCCTCCCCCTCAGGAGCTGATGACAGTAGGAGGGACTCGTGTCCATGTGACAGTGGCCAGGCTCAGACCTGCCTGTCAGGCCTGTGCATGTGCACAAGGCATCTTGGGAAAGACAACTATGCTACGTTTCCTGGGGGCCAGCAGGCAGCAGAGGGCACGGGTGGAGTCCCAGGAGACGGAGATAGGGACCTGGTCAGGACAAGAGGCCCGGGCAGCGTGGTGGTATCGGATTCCTGGGCTCACATGCTGGTTCTGGGATGCCACGCTGGGTCTGGGACCGCTTGCTGGTTTCTAGGTGTTGATATCGACCTTTCCCTCCTTTCAGATTGAACAAGATTGCGAACCAGGTGGCCATCCAGCGGAAGAAGCAGTTTGTAGAGCGGGCCCACAGCTACTGGCTTCTCAAGAGGCTGTCACGGAACGGTGCGCCCCTGCTCCGGAGGCTGCAGTCCAGCCTGCAATCCCAGCGCAGCAGCCAGCAGGTGGGCTGGCGCCTGTGGTGCGGGGGGCCTGGTCTGGGGGGGGGTCCCTGACCAATGAGGGCTCAGTATGCACGCTGGCCGCTGGGACATGGGCCTTGGTGGAAGACAGGTGCAGGTGGGAGAGGGTGGGTCCCTGAGGCCACGTGTAGGGCTCCTGGCTGTGGGGAGGGTCCGCTTGAAGAGGATTGTGTGGGGTCGGGGCACTAGTCGTTGCCCACCCAGATGGCTTCTTGATGTCACATGCTTTTGGCCCCTTGTACCCCCACCCCACCCTGAGACCATGCTAGACACTGGCTTGGTGGAGTCGGACAGGGTGTGTGAACTCAGGCGTGGTGCTGGGACCCTCTCCCATTAGTTGACCCTGGTCCTTGGGGTCCCCCTGCCATGCCCGTCTGGGTGCTCTATGGGGTCCCCCTGCTGTGCCCGTCTGGGAGGCCTGTGTGGTCCCCCTGCTGTGCTCATCTGGGAGCTCTGGGGTTCCCCTGCCATGCCCGTCTGGGTATTCTGTGGGGGTCCCCCTGCCATGCCTGTCTGGGAGGCCTGTGGGGTCCCCCTGCCATGCCCGTCTGGGAGCTCTATGGGGTTCCCCTAATGGTGCCCATCTGGGTACTCTGTGGGGTTCCCCTTGGCACATCTGGGTACTGTGGGGTCCCCCTGCCATGCCCATCTGAGTACTCTGGGGTCGTGCTGTGGAGGTCTTGGAGTCTCCTCTTCACCGAGGTTCTCCTTGGGTCACGCCTGTCACCTGCTCCTCCAGGACTAATGTCCACACCTGGCTGTTCACATCCAGGTTGTGTCCAGCCACCTCAGGCCTCATAAGGGATCCCTCCCTCCTGAAAGGTTTACAGACTTCCCTGGGGATTCACCCTGTTCCTAGGGCGAGTGGCTAGGCCTGGGATTGCCTTACCTTGAGATTGTCCGGGAGGCCCGTGGGGAGACGGGTGCTGGGCTGAGTGTGTGCGGGTTAGTGAGTCGTCTTGGGGTGGCAGGTTTGACCCCACGTCCTGAACATGCCTTCTTCCTGTGCATTCCTGTGGGAGGCCTTTCTCGGTGGTCGCTTGGACTGTGCGCTCTGGTCAGCTTGTCCCCTTTCTCGCCAGTGTCCATGGTGGACAGAGGCTCGTGCGGTTTCACACGGGGCTGGCTCTTGGTGCTGGAGAATACTCGGGTTCTTCCCGCAGCCTGGAGTTGTCCAGGATGGGCTTCTCTTCCAGAGCAGACAGCCTGCTGCCCCCCAAGACTTTGGAGCAGAGTGGGTGGCCTCTGGGGGCCCGGAGTGATCTCAGAACTGATGGTCTGGGTGCTTCTTGGGCTTGGGGGTCGCTGGTGTCAGGAGCAGCTTCACACGGAAAGTCGTCAGGGAGTTTGGGTTGTAAACCCACCTGGCGTTGGGTGGTGTCCCGGCTCTTCTGTCACACAGAAGTGGACAAGGGTTCTTGCTCAGGACATTAAGGCCATTTCCCCCTCCCTCGGGGGTGTCCGGGCTGCATTGAGCTGATGGCCGTTATGTCCCCCGGGAGCTCCTGTCTGGATGTCCATCCGTGGTGTGGGCCGTGAGGGTGGAGTCCCACGGTGTCAGCTTTGTGCCTCATCACACTGTCGGGGTGCAGCAAGAGGAGACAGGGCAGTGTGGGAGCATCGTTTAGATGGACTGGGCAGGGCTGCCCAGAGAGGGCTTCTCCCAGGGATCGAGTGTGACCGCGTGCGGTGTGTGAATGTGCCGGTGTACCTGCGCCCGGCGGGGCGTGAGGACACCCATCGAGGGGCGCACGTCTCCCGTCCGTGAGATGTGCGGGAGGGTCCCACATGCTGGTGGGCAGTGGGTGTGGGGACAGCTGGGGTGCCGCCCCATGTGTGTCCTGGGGTGGCCAGACCTGCAGCCACGTGGTTCGGGCCACGAGTGCCGCCCGGGATACCCTTGTCCAGGGATGTCCCCCTCCCCAGTCCCACCCCTGCGGCTGCACCCCGTCCTCACTCCTCCCGGGGAGGCGCCCCCCACCGCCCCCCAGGGTCCCACGTCCCTCTCCTTCCTCCCCTCGCTTTCAGGCTCCCCCTCCCCAGGGCGCCCCCCCAGGGCTGCGAACACCCCAGGACTGCCCCCCGCCCCGTTCGCTTTCGGGCGCCCCCTCCCCAGGTCTCAGTCGCAGCACGGGGTGGGGGGCTGTGGGGTGCAGAGGCGCGGGTGGGTGGCCACACCTTTCCTGCTCACCGCTGTCCAGCGCCGGCTCCTCTCCATGACCCCTCCGGAGTGCCCTGCCCAGGGCGCCCCGAGAACCGAGCAGACCCCCATGGAGCCTCTGGTTGACTTTGCAGCGAGAAAACGACGAGGAGATCAAGGCCGCCAAGGAGAAGCTCAAGTACTGGCAGCGGCTGAGGCACGACCTGGAGCGCGCGCGGCTGCTCATCGAGCTCATGCGCAAGCGCGAGAAGCTGAAACGCGAGCAGGTGAGGCTGCCGCGCGTCCCCAAGTGCGTGCGCGTCCCCAAGTGCGTGCGCGTCCCCAAGTGCGTGCGCGTGCCCGAGTGCGTGCGCCTGAGTGCGTGCCGTGCCTGAAACGAGCATGTGAGGCGGCCATGGAGGTGCGTGCGCGTGCCTGAAACGAGCAGGTGGGCCGTGGTGGTGCGTGCGCGTGCCTGAGTGCGCGCGCGCGCACGCCTGGTTGTGCGAGCGAGCGTGCGGCGGCTCATCGAGCTCATGAGCAGTTGCGGGAAGCTGAAACGAGGAAGTGCAGCGGCCACTGCGGTGCTTGCTGCGTGCGTGTGCTTGCATGTGTGCATGCGTGCGTGTCTGTGCTTCTGCACCTGCGCAAACTTACGCAAGAAGCTCAAGTTCGAGTGTGTGAGCTGCCCTCCCACCTTGGAGGAGCCTGCTGGACCCTTGTGCCCCGTGGGGTCTCTTAGGAGGACCGTCAGGTCCTAGGACACGTGCGCTCAAGTGCTTCATGGTCTCCCGCCCTCATTCTCTCCAGGAGGTGCTTGGCTTAGCTGACGGCGGGGTTCCGATGTCTTTTTGGGGTCACCATGAGTCGCAGTTGACTCGATAGCAGCACACACAACCCCCACACACCCTCCTGCACAGAACGACCTCCCTCTTGCATCTGCCCTTGAGTCCTGCGCACCTGGAGGGATGGGTGCTTGGTGGATCCTGACGACGGACAACCTTGACCCTCGCGGGTGGGCTGGGCGGGGAGTCAGGGCCTGCCTGCCGTGCAGTGTGAGCCGGCCTTGTGCTGGGCATAGCGTGTAGGAGCGAGAGCCGAGAGCCGGGCGCCAGCCTGTGTCCAGGCTGCGGGGCGGGGGGACAAGCACCGGGAGTCTGGGCGCCATGTGGCAGAGCCGGGGGCTTGGACACGGTGCCACGGAGAGGGTGACCTTGGTCGCTGTGTGCAGGTGAAGGCAGAGCAGATGGCCATGGAGCTGCGGCTGACCCCATTCACGGTGCTGCTGCGCTCGGTGCTGGACCAGCTGCAGGAGAAGGACCCGGCGCGGATATTTGCACAGCCCGTCAGCCTGAAGGAGGTGCGTGTGAGATGGACCCTTCCTGGCGGGCACTCGGGACGGGACCTGTGAACCGCTGAGCGGCTCGCTGGACAGATGCTGGAGGGCAGTAGCTGCATCACGTTGAGCTGGTCAGACAGACTAGAGACCCCATGGGGAAAAGACCCTCGGCTGGTGGGTCAGACCTCCCACCTCGAACCGGGCAGGGGCCTTGGGCTGGTCCCAGGACACACGGGAGATGGTCTCATTCTTCCTTGTCTGAACCAGGTGCCGGATTACCTGGACCACATCTCACGCCCCATGGACTTTGCGACGATGAGGAAGCGGCTGGAAGCCCAAGGGTACAGCGCCCTGGCGGAGTTTGAGGAGGACTTTAACCTGATTGTAGATAACTGCTTGAAGTACAATGCCAAGGACACAGTGTTCTATAGAGCTGCAGTGAGGCTCCGTGACCAGGGCGGGGCGGTGCTGCGGCAGACCCGGCGGCACGTGGAGAGCGTGGGCTTCGAGGAGGCCACGGGCATGCACCTGCCCGAGCGGCCCCCGCCAGTGCCCCCGCGGCCCTTCTCCTGGGAGGACGGTAAGCAGGTGTGGGAGGCGCCAGTGTGGGTGTCGGGGGTGGGGATGGGGCCTTGGTGTCTGGCGTTCTTCAACGAGGGACTGGGCTGTGTTGCATGCGGTCCGTCAGTTCATAGCGTGTGCCCTGTGGTCGTCTTGGATGTGGCTTGGCTACAGCTGCAGGGGCGAGGGGCCATCCAGTGAGGGTGAGCTCTCTTAGTCCAGACGCAGCTGCAGGGGTTGAATGTTGGTGCCCAGAGTGTGTGCTTCGTTGAGTCCCCCAGCACCCCTCCCTCAGAAGACCTGGGGCTGTTCGCTGACTATGGGACTCACCAGCAGACTGGCCTGGTCTGTGTCCCGTGCATGCCGGGATGGGTCCAGGGTTGGGACTCCAGTCTCTGTGCCGAGAGTCAAGGTGTGTGTTCGCACGGGCTCACCTGCCTGACCTTGTCTGCAGCCTGCACTGCAACTTCCTACAGGTGGACAGCTTAGGGCTCCAGCTTGCTGGACTACTGGCCTAGACTGTGCTATGGTTACTGTCTACCGGGCAGCATGTGAATATAGAGTCCGGGGTGCCCTTTTACCTCTGGTCCTCTCCACGTGGCCTCGTCCTTGAATCCTACACGCCAGGCAGCTGCATTGGAGGGCCTGGCTGATAGCCGTTTTCACTTCCCCGTGCAGCGCTGCCATGTGATTACTCTGGAGTCACAGTGGCCTCTAGGTTTCTGTCTTCAAACCTTTTTCTCTCTCTGTGTCAGAGAAGGTATCTGTTTCTTCACCGCTGGTGTGGTGCCCTTGGTGGCCAGCAGCCAGGTCTACATTTCACGGTTTTCAGCTCTTGAAGCTCCAGGTTTTTGTTTTAGGGTGTTTGTTGTGTTTTTTAAGGCGCTCTGGTGCTCCCACCAGCTGCTTTGGCATTTTCAGCCTCTCAAGCTGCGGCTGGAGGGTCAGCTGTGAGCTGGTTGCTGCCCGACAGCTGCGAGTTCTGATCTTCGACCGTAACCTGGCCGAGCCTTTACAGGCTGAGTCCTGTCTCGTGACTTGTGTGAGTCAGTGCCCCTGTGAACAACGCGGCGTGCAGAACGTCTTCCCCTCCTGCCGGGCCTTTCCGGTTTCTTCCCATCCTTCTCTCCGTCTTTTGAGCTTTGTGCTATGTTGTCCTTCAGGTTTGGAGGGTGGGTTGATTGTTCCTAGGGCTTTGGTTTTCTGGTGCTGTTGCTCCCTGATAGGTCTGCTGTGTGGCTGAAAGTTGAGGTGCAGGGTGAGTTCAGTCCTGGTCTGAAGGGTGACGAGGGGCCGGTGTCTCCAGGGCTCCTCAGTCTGTGGGAGCAGCTTGTCTGGTCTTTTAGGACTTTGGCTTCATTCCGTGGTTCTCTCTCACCCTGCCCGGTGCCTCCCGAGGTGATCACTCCTCTCGAGTGTTCGGCATGGGTACCGGCTGCTTCTGGCTTCAGTCGTGATGCCTGCAGGCCGAGTGCCCGGTTGGTCCTTGGATGGATCGGTTCACATGTCTGGTTTTCCTCACTCGTCTTGCTGTTGGAGGAGTGACCAGTTATGAACCTGGAGTGACCAGTTATGAACCTTTCTGGTTTTCGTGGCTCTTTCTCCTGCTGTCTCAGGTTCTCTGATGGCGATTTCCCCGCTCTAGCGTGGACCCGCTGAGGTGGCTGCCTGGTGACGGGGCACCTTCGTGAGGCTGGCCACAGGGATGTGACCCCATGGGCGTGGCTGCGCACGGAGGTCTTGGTTCTGTCCTGGACTCGGCCTGGCTGTGCATGTGACGGCCGCGGTGTATGCCAGAGCCCTGGGGGTGCTGCCGCAGTGGGGGCCGGTGGAGGTGTTGATGCCCCAGGTGAAGCAGGTCTCCTTGTAGTAGTGGCCACGCTGTGCGCCCAGCACACCAGCCCCCGCACTCGGGTCTGGACGGGGCGGTGAGGAGGTGCTGAACCGGCTGTCCCCTGGCTTTGCTGAAGGGCTAACTCAGCGTCCCTTTGACTTCAGTGGACAGGTTGCTGAACCCGGCCAACCGTGAGCACATGGCCCTGGAGGACCAGCTAAGGGAACTGTTGGACAAACTGGACCTGACCTGTTCAATGAAGTCCAGCGGGTCAAGAAGCAAACGGGCAAAGTTGCTCAAAAAGGAGATCGCTCTGGTGCGGAGCAAGCTGAGTCAGCAGCCCAGCCCGCCCCCGCGGCCCGCCGAGTCAGGTATTGGAGGCTTCGAAGAGGACGGGGCTCCTCTGGAGCCAGAGGCGGGGGACGCAGGTAAGCCGAGCACTGCCGTCCGGCCGCGCGCGGGGGGCGCACACATGCAGCGCTGGCCCGCGGCCCCGGCGTGGGGAGCTGGGCGCGGCCTGGAGCGCTCTGGGTGGCCGTGGGCTGCAGAGCTGGTTGTGTGACAAGAGTAAGTAAGTCCCGAGGGGGAGCAGTGGCCAGACCTGGGGCGCAGCGGCTGGTAGGGGCCGTGCACGCTGCTGTCACGCGACCACTGCTCTGGCTTTGAAGTGAGGGCTCCTCTCCGACCGTCTGGCCCAGCTCCTGTCCTCGTGTGGTGCCCGTGGCCCTCGCACGTCTCCCCTGCTGGCGCCTGGGGGACGGGGTGGATCGCACTGGTGTTAGGGGCTCCCTGTGGGAGCAGGACGTGTGCGCCTGCGGTCAGGGGCTGTGGAGGATGTTGGGGTGTCAGAGCAGCACTCGGGTCTGCTGTCCTGTTCTGTCCTTAAAGTTTAAGCATCAGTATGTGATTGTCACACAGAGAGTAAGAGTCTTCCACCCCCTCTGTCACCGCCACACCTCTTAGCCGGCTGCTTGCTTGCTCGTTTTCGCTTCTCAGGCTGAGACACAGGCGGAAGGTTGTCACCCGGCTCTTCTACTCTCTGACGGCTGTTTTTTTGTGAGCACACGAGTGGCAAGCTTAGTGCCCCTTTGAGGCTGGCCCTCACTGGCTCCTGTAAATCCTGGTGCCTCCAGCCACACGCCTCTTGCCAGCCTCCCTCCCAGCTCAAGGATGGCTGTGTACAGTGGACCTTGGTCCTCTCAGCCTGAGGACACCTAGGAGTCCTACGTGGTGTGGACCCCCCGCCCCTTGGCCTGATTAACACCTCTGCGCGGTGCACCCCGAGTCCTGTAATGGCCATGTGCTGTGGGCCCCGCTGGCCCTTCTAACCCTGAGAAGACCCTTGTGTGACCACTGGCCTCGACCTCTAAGCTGAGGAACGGCCGTGTCCTGTGGCCTCTGGCCCCTGCTGGCCCCCTCAGCCTGAGTGCACCCTTATGGTGTGGCCAGGTCCTCCACGTGTCCAGCAGTGATTTGCCTGTTCACCCTGCTGTTATGTCAGGACATCAGGTAGCTGTGGGGTTTGGCATAGAACCCGCAGGAGGGTCGCGTCAGTCTGCGGTTTCCATGTGGCCTTGGTGACACCTTTGTCACTTACACAGAGCCAGCAGCTCCTGTCCCGCTTGCGAGAGGTTGCCTCCCTAGAGGACACCACTGCTGGGCTCAAGAGCACGGGCCCTTCCTGGTGAGCGTCCAGGGCCTGGAGCTATGGGAGCCTTCGTGGCCAGCCTAGCTAGCACCCCCACCCTGGACAGTGCCCTGGAGCGGGTCCTAGGGCCCGTACCATAGCAGTTACCTAGGGAGCAGCCTCTGATCTATACCTGGCCCACATGACCTGTGCTGTGTTTGCAACACAGTGCTCCTGCACCTCGTCCACACGGCACTCTGCTGCACCCCAACACAGCGCCCTGTCCACTCTGTCCCTCGTACCCCTACACCTCATCAACTCTGCCCACGTGCACTCCGCTGCACCCCAACACAGCGCCCTGTCCACTCTGTCCCCCGTGTCCTTGTCTCACGTCTGCTCTGCTGCATCCCAACACAGCGCCCTGTCCCGTGTCCCCCGTGCCCGTGTCTGCTCTGTCTACATACCGCTCTACTGTGTGCCGTTATCTCTGTCCACTCAGTGCCTTATCAATTATGTCCATCCTGCGCCCTGACCACCCTGTCTGCACAGCGCTCCGCCCTGCTTGACCATACAGCGACCCCCTGGGCCTCGTCCACTCTGCCCACACAGCGTTCTGCCCAGCCCTGTTTATGCAGTGGCCCCCTGGGCTCCTCCTGTGCTGTCCACACAGCGCTCTGCTCCACATCCCAGTCCCCGCCCGTGCGGTGCTCCACGTCCCAATGCAAGTGTGCTCCACATCCCGGTCTCCGCCCCTGCAGTGCTCCACAACCTGGTCTCCATCCCCACGGTGCTCCACATCCCAGTCCCCGCCCCGCAGTGCTCCACATCCCAGTCCCCGCCCACGTGGTGCTCCACATCCTGGTCCCCGCCCACGTGGTGCTCCACATCCCGGTCCCTGCCTGTGTGGTGCTCCACATCCTGGTCCCCGCCCTTGTGGTGCTCCACATCCTGGTCCCCGCCCCGCAATGCTCCACATCTCTGTCTCTGCCCCGTAGTGCTCCACATCCCGGTTCCCGCCCGTGTGGTGCTCCATCCCACGCCCAGTGTACACAGTGCTGTGTGGATACCTTTGCCCACACACTGCATGTTCTTGGTGGTCCTTTGCCCACGTGCTGTCCACGTAGCTCTCGGCCTTCACTGTCTCCAGCACCCCGTCGACATGCTGCTAGGACCCCAGAGCCCCATGCACCATTGTGCTCTAGCGTCACGTCCACGTGTGGGTCCTGTGCGGCTGCCCCTCTCTCCTGGCCCTCAGGAGGAGGCGTCACGTGTGGTCATCATGGGGTCTCCCTGTGTTGGGTCCTGCTGAGGCCCGAGGGAGTGGCCTCTGGCAATAGTGGCCGCTGTGTGAGCAGGAAGGGTGCTGAGATTTGGCTGATTAGCAGTGGTGGATGGACACACAGGTCACTTCCTAACCTAGAGGGAACGTAGGCTGGGTGGGGTCTGGTAGAGGTCACTGACAGGGCTGTGGGGCAGGTCCTGGACGTGGGGTCACTGTAAGAGCTGTGGGGCAGCACCTGGGCTTGGGGTAACCGGTGGGGCTGTGGGACACTGGGTTACTGGTCACAGGAAGGACGTGGCGTCAGTGAGGGAAGTGGCCCCTGTTAGCTAGTAGAGTCGAGGACCGATGGATGTAGTAAAAGCTCCCCGAGTGATGTGCCCTGTTGTCTGGGTGGTGGCCGATGTGGTGAGGGGTCTCTGTGTAGTGTCCATTTCTGGAAGCTTGGGTGCGAGTCTCCGTTGTTCTTCATCTGCCGTGGGAGGACGCAGTGGCACCCACAGGTGCAGGCGGAGCCCCAAGTTGGGGCGCGTGCTCAGGGTCAGGTCGTGGGGTCCAGAGCTGGCTCTTGGGCAGGAGTCCCTGTGTTGTGGGGCCGAGGGTGCAGACAGCCTTGCTGTGTGGGATCAGCCAGGTGCTTGGTCAGGAGCGTGCAGTGTGGCGACCACATGGTGACCGGGCAGTGGTGTGGGGAGCATGCAGTGTGGTGATCGCGTGGTGACCGCACAGTAGGGTTGGGAGTGTGCTGTGTGGTGACCGTGTGGTGGCCAGGCAGTGGGGTCAGGAATGGGGTCTGGAGCGTGCTCCATGGTGACCAGGGTCGGGAATGGGGTCAGGAGAGCGCTGGGTGGTGGCCGGGTGTGATGTGGGCTATGAGGTCTGGAGCGTGTTCTGTGGTGACCAGGTGTGGTACAGGTGGTGGGGTTGGGAGCACGCTGCTTGGTGACCGGGTGTGAGTGGGCAGTGAGGACTGGAGCTGGATGGTGGCCGGGTGTGATGTGGGCGGTGGGGTTGGGAGGGTGCTTTTTGGTGATGGTGTGAGCACAGACAGGTCAGCTGTCCACCTGCCTCCCGAGTTGGTGTTGTGAGTGAATGCTCGGCTCTGGTCAGGATGGCACTGACCAGTCCTCTGTGGACTTGGGCTAAGAGGGCGTCTCTGCAGTGGAGCTCTCCATTTGAGCTGTGGCAGGAATCTGCTCGTCTGGGGTTCAGTAGGGTTGTGAGGGGCCCTGCGAGGTCTTGTAACAGTGGGCAGTCCCCAAGGGGTCTTAGACTGATGGCTCAGGGCTGGGCAGGGGCCCTGCAGTACACGGACCAGCTACCAGAGTGACACGGCCCACGGACGTGACACTTCCACACAGAGAATTCCCCAGACTGCAGCCCATGGACACTGCCTCTCCATTTAGGGACCCCAGACTACAGCCTGTGGTCACTGCCCTCCATTGGGGCCTCACTGACCACAGCTGTTGGTACCCCTCTGGCTGACAGAGGGCTGGGGGACAGGGAACCGACCTGTTTTAGGGAGCTGGTCCGTGAGGGGTAGGGGGCATTACAGATAGTTACGTGCTCTAGGAGGGCTTTGGGGTGGCTGGCTGCAGAGGAGCCGAGAGCTGTGGTTCTGAGCCGGGGTTAGAGGGCTTGGGGGTGGCCGGCCTTGGAGCAGGGGAGAGCCGTGATTCTGAGCAGGGATGGGATGGTCTTGGGGTGGCCGGCCCGCGGAGGAGCTGAGAGCCGTGGTTCTGAGCAGCAGTGAGCAGGTTCCGGTTTTGACACTTCTGAGGGGCTGGGTGTGACCAGCTTAGTAGGATTGGCACCTTGGAGGTTGGGGGGGGCTCAGTGGGTACAGAATGGGCATCTGGGGCAGGTATGGTGCCTCGGACGCTCTCTAAATGGCATGTTGAGTGCAGTGGGAGACAGATGTGGGGACCCGTGGTGGGGCTGGCAGGGAGGAGAAGGCCCCGGTGGCATCAGCCATCCGGCTGACCTGGCCGGTGCGTAGACCATGCCCCAGCATCTGATGGTTTGAAGTGGCACTTCAGTGACTGGTCATGAGTGGCCAGTGGGGCCTGGAGGAGCTGGCAGAGAGGTGACAGTGATCCCAGCTGGCAGGGGGACAGGCTGTGGGCACCCCATCCATCCCTCTACCCGGCTGCAATGGCACATGGTGGGGCCGATGCCCTTGCTGACCATCGAGGCTCCTGCTGACCGTGTGTCCCTCTCGTGTAAAGGTTGCTTGAATCGAGTCTGTGTGAGGATGCGTGTGTCCGGCGAAGGGACAGTACTGTGCCCCTTCCCAGCCTTGGCCAGCGGCAGTGAGCCAGTGCACAGGGGGACCGTCACAGGTCCGTCTCCAGACGTTCCTCCGAGTCGGTGACTGGCTCAGGACGTGAAGCAGAGCTTGGTTGTGGACTTAGCTGGTTTCAGAGTGATGAGAACTTGGCCTTGGGGTTTAGGTGGAGGTCTGCAGAGCGGGTCAGGGTCAGAGTTCCCTTGGAAGGGCCGTGAGTGTCTCCTGGTGTGACGTGGGTTCCACATCCACTCCTTCCCTGTGCATCCTGTTACCACCGTCCTTTCCTGCCCTTCCTGTCATCCGACCTTTCTCCCTGGCCGGTGCTGCCCTCTGACCTCCAGTGGTCGCCTGTCCTGAGATGAGTGCCTCTCTTTGGTGGTGGCTGGCCTTGTTGGTCAGTTTCTCTGGAGGCTGAAGTTGACCTGTGGGCTGGGTTTGCTTCTAGGCTTGATGGTCTAATAGCCTTAGTCTTAGTGGTCTCTCCCGTCTCAGCCAGCTGGGTCTTTTTTTACTATTTTAGGTTTTGTTCCATGTTTTCCTCTAATTTTTGTCAGGACCTTTTCTTACGACCCCTTTTCAGAGTGGTCACCTGTGGGGACTGGGCCCCCTCAGGACCGATGATCCTTTGTCCCAGACAGGGCGGCGGCACCAGGAGGTCCCTCAGATGGCTGCTTGGAGCCTTGGGGCTCTGGTCACTGCTCAGAGTAGGATGGGGACAGCTGACCCTGATGCCTCGGGCCCGGTGGCCCGTCCCGTGCAGCACCGTGTTCACGTGGATTTGCACACGCATGTCCGCAGCCCTGCGTGAGGGATCTTGTTACTGCCGGTGTTTCAGGGCAGTGCACGCACCACCCCGAATGCTGGTGCTGCCGGAATGGACGGCTGACAAGGAGCTATGGCCGCAGGGACTCTGGGCAGTTGTCCTCCGGGGTCATGATGGGTCAGAGTAGACTATGGGGCTGTGGGTCTGGTTTCACGCATGCATGTAACAACGTATCTAGAATGGTTTTGGAAAGTTTGCGGCTTAGTGCAAACTTCTTCATCGAGGACGCATCGTACGTCCTTGCTAGAGCACTTGGTGGTCTGCTCTTCCTTTTTGGTCTGCTTCCTGTAGCCCAGACTGGACTTGTCAGAAGGGAACTGCAGGGGTGGCCCTGTGACGTCACTGTGGCCTCCCGGGGTACCTGCTGATGAGAGTGTCAGGTGGTGTGTGTGGTTGATTCTTTATAAGAACAGTCAAATCTTGTCGATACCATGACCATACAGCCTCCGGGAGATTGTGCTGTGTGGTGGGAACGTGGGGTCTGTTCGGAAGGAGCTTCCTTCCGGTGTTGGGTGTGAGGGCTCAGCTCCTTGTGTGCTGGCCTTGCCCACCAGGGTCCTGTCCTTCGGGACAGGTTGAGCACACGGCCCCTCTGCAGGTAAGTCACGCAGACCCAGGAATCTGCTGAGGGCTGTGAGAGTGGGTGACCTCACCGGTTCCCCGAGGTGTGTAGCTGGGGTGCTGTGCTGCAGGGTGTACGGTGCTGGCCTCCGTAACCGACGTGTTGTGCTGGACGTCACGTTTGTAGTAAGTTTGAATAAGAGACTTTATCGCTGCCAGTTTTCAAAATCACTCTATTTATAATTTTTTCAGGAGATAAATCTCCCCCTAAACTTGAACCATCAGATGCATTACCTCTTCCTTCAAACTCGGAGCCTAATTCAGAACCACCAACCCTCAAACCAGTAGAACTGAACCCCGAGCAGAGTAAACTATTCAAACGAGTCACTTTTGGTACTGGGTCACTTAGCCCTTGCACTCAGAGCGCCCAGGCGCACGGACACGCGGCGTTGCCCTCTCCCGCCGGGGAAGGCGCGGTGCCGGCCGCCCCCGCGCCGGCGGACCCTTCCGGCGATGTGAACAGACGCACCTCTGTTCTCTTCTGCAAATCGAAAAGTGTAAGCCCCCCCAAGTCTGCCGAGATCACTGAGACCCAGCCAACTTCTCCTCAGCTAGGGACCAAAACCTTTTTGTCTGTAGTCCTTCCGAGGTTGGAGACTCTGCTGCAGCCGCGCAAAAGGTCACGGAGCACATGTGGAGACTCCGAGACGGAGGAGGAGACCCCCGGAAAGAGGCTGGACACAGGTAACGGGCAACGCGGGCCGTGTGGGCAGGCAGGGGGGCCGGTGGTCACTGCGCGTCGGGGAGATGAATTGTTGGAGAGCAGCCCACTGTCGGCGGGGGGCGGGGGGAGGGAAGGGCTGTGTACTGGGGGGACCAGCGTGTAGCCACTAATGCAAAGGGGGACACAGCCTGGGTATCCAAGAGAAGGGCGGTCTGAGGGCCCCTCCCTGTGGGCCGGCTTGTGTCCAGCATGAGCCTGTGTTGGGGCCCCACGTCCGCGTTCTGATGCGAGACGGAGCAGCACACGGCTCCCGGGGTCATCTCCGTGGGGCTGGAGCCGGCCGGGGTGGCTTGGCTCTGGTGTTGGCCGCCTCCTGCTTCCCTGGAGGGGCATACTGCGTGAGGCTGGGGTATGGGGCGGGGGCGTGGGGCGGGACAGGGACGTGGGATGAGGACGTGGGACGGGGGCGTGGGCTGGTGCTCAGGCGTGAAACACGGTGTGTGATGGAGGCGCGTGGGGGCCGTGTGGGCAGGCAGCTGTGTGAACGTGCAGTGCCGTCCACTGCGTGCACACCAGCCCAGCACCTGCAGACTCGTGCCCTCTGAGGTCTCCTGGTGTATGGGCACGCTGCCCGACTCACCGGCCTGCCTTTCTTGACCCGGCGAGAACTCCCCCATGGCCATGGCACTAGCCTTCTTGGGCATGATTTGGAATCTGTGGACGAGGCCCCCGAATGAGAAGGCCCAGGGACCCCAGGCTTGAGAATGAAAACAGAAACAAGTGGCCTGCTTTGGACAGTGCTGGGGAATGACCGCTGGAACGGGCAGCATGTGGTGGACAGCACTGCACTGGAGAACGGTGTGAGAATGAGCAGCATGCGGTGGACAGCGCTGGGGACGCTGCCCATCAGTGCCTTGGACTTGCTCGCGTTGCCTCGACAGAAGCTGGACGCCTCTTTCTGGCCACCTGTAGTCAGAGGGCCACCTGGCCTGGAGGGGATGGTGACTTCTTGTGAGACTTTTGTGGGAGGATGTGGTCTGGGTGGGCAGCCCACATTGGTGGGGCCCAGATCGCTCACCTGTGTCTTTCAGAGCACTGGTGACCCTGTGGGCCTTCATCTCCAAGTGCCCTGGAGGAAAGGCCTGGTGCTCCCTGGACACCACGCCCAGCGGCTGGTGGCTCATGGTGGTTTTTGGACTGACTGGGAGATGTGGAACTTTGGGGGGTGATGAGCCGGGCTGCTGTGGTTGCGTGGGAGGGTTGTCAGCATGTGGACAGTGTCATGTCCGCTGTGACTGGACGTAAGCTGATGTTCTGGGCACGGCCGGCCAGGCCTCTGGCTGTCATGCGCTTTAGAGAAGGCGTCCAGTGCTCTCGGAGCTTTGTCCACCAGGGCATGTCGCAGTCGGGGCCTGCCTGCAGCAGGTGGTCGGTCAGTGTGTCAGTGGCCTGGCCTGACTGTCGTATGTGGCCTCTGGCACCTTCATTGAAAGGTGGACTTGTTCCGGGTCCCGTGTGAGGCGTGTGTTGACCTAAGGGTGAGAGGAGGCCCGGTGCAGGCCAAGCAGGCATGCGTGTTCCAGCACGTACCCCGCCTGTCTGAACAAGTCTGTGCTCTCTTGTTTTAGAGGGGCAGTAGAGGCCGTGGATGTGTGGGGGCCCGAGCTCCCCAGGGCAGTGAGCCCTGGCCTGCCTGCACCTGACTTCATGCCCTACTCACTCAGACGCTTGATGGTTGAGACCTTTGATCCCTGATTCGCTGTGTTGGGCTTTGGGGATAGCATTGCTGAGGGAGTGGCCCTTGGAGACACCACCCAGCAACACCTTTGCTTACAGTGTGCGTGACGTGACGGAGACTTACCCCAGGCCCCTCACTGTGTGATGGAGACACGGCCCAGGCTGAGACCCAGGCTCGAGTTTATGTGAATGAATACTGCAGTTCTGATGTCCACATTCCCTGACAGTTCTCGTTTCCAGTGCAGAGGCCAGTAGTGGTCTGTGTGGACTTCTGCTCCAGCCTGCCCCTCATCCGGATATGGCAGGTGAGAAAGGAGACTGGTCATGAGAGACAATGGCTGGCACTGCCCCTGTCCTCATGCACGGGCTGCCTGGCCTCTGACTGCCGGCAGGCTCTCTGTCTGACCCCCGGATCCTGGCCTCTGATCCCTGGATCCTGGCCTCTGACTACCGGCCGGCTCTCTGTCTGATGGCCCCCATCCCCAGAGTCTGCAGGTGCCTCACCTGGACCGGAGCACAGGTGCCAGCTCTCAGACCACTGGCTCCACCCTGTCATCCATTTGTGCAGTGACCTGGGCTGGAAAGGTCCCTGCATCCCATCATAGGTCCTCAGAACCGTGGGTTATCGGGGAGCTGTTGAGCCTGCGCACCTGCAGACAGCTTACCTGCATCCTCGGAGGACGCACCTGGACAGCTTCTGGAACCCGCACCTGCAGACGGCTTACCTGCCCCCTGAGATGGCACACCTGGACAGCTTCTGGAACCCGCACCTGTTGATCACTTACCTGGATGAATTTTGGAGCCCACACTTGCATGCAGATGGCTTACCCGGCTGGTTTCCATTGTGCACCCACAAACTGCTACCCTGGACGGCTCCCAGCTCCCACATGCATAGACGGCTCACCTGCATGGTTTTTGAATGCACCTGCACAGCTCACCTAGACAACTTTGATCAGCTTGTGAGCTGTACTGGGATCTGAGCCATGCCCCTGTGGGATGTGGGTGCTGTGTCCGAGGGCCCTGTGGCCTAGCAGGAGCATGGCCCATGCGATGCTGGTCTATGTCTGTACGCTGTGGACCCCTTTCTCCACCTTCCTCTAATCCTCTGATCTCCATTAGTTAGCCTGCTGGGTGCACTGACCATTGCAGATGGGGCCATGTTTCCATAGCCTAGATGTCCAGCTCCAGGCAGAGATTGCCACCACATCACTTTTCGTGTCTGTGTCACTGAGGGGGAAGAACTCACACACCCTGGACACAGGCCCACATCCTGGACAAGGAACCACGCCTGGACACGGGGCCACTTCTGGACACAGGACCACCTCAGGAAGTGGACGACACCTGGCCACGGGACTGTTCTCGGACATGGGATCGCTCCCTGGACGCAGGATCACTCTCAGATACAGGACTGTCCCTAGAAACCAGGTGTGCCAGTCGGTGCCCCGTTCAGCACGCCACAAGGCGGTACATCTTGCTCTGCGGACAGCACCGTCCCTGGCTGTTGAGGAAGTTGCTGGGCATGTGGGGCTACGTCTGGATGCGTCCTGCGTGGCCTACGCCGTGGCTCCTGGTCCTGCAGCTCGGATGCAGCTCTTCAGTGGCTGGCCTGTGTGCGACGCTGGCCACTCGGCTGTCGGGGGTGCTGGTGGGCAGCAGGTGTTCCGTCCTAGCCCTGGGGGCACAGCAGCTCGGGCGTCTGCCACGTGGACAGCACGGTCTGCATCGTCAGTGCTGGCTCTGTGGGCAGCACCTAGAGGCTGCCTCGTGGTCCGTGAGCGTGGTCTGCTCAGGTGGATTCTCTGAAAGACCAGATGTCTCAGGAGGTGCAGTGTGCACGCTGGGTGCTGGGCTGACCAGCTGGAGCGAGGGGCCGTGGGGGACCCTGAAGGAGGACTTCGAGAGTCATCTGTGAAGCGAGCTGCCCATCCTTTGTGGAAAGATACGGCTGCTGTGTCCAGCTCCCCACAGCCACCGGGAACCCCACGTGGAGCTCTCTGTTCTTGGAAGACTCGCCCTGCTGGTGACCACCCCGCCCTGGCTCCGTCCAGCAGCCTGCCCCCACATTTTCTCTGCCTCCCCTGTCCTCTCTGGACATGGCGGTGAGCAGATTAGGCCCATGCCTCCAGCAGGGCCTGGTGCCTGTTGGTGGAGTGAAGGCGGTGGACACCTCGGACATCACGCCTTCTGTGCGGGGACAGAAGTGTTCGTGACTGGAGCCAGGCTCTTTCTCCCTGGGCTTCTGTGTGGGGACGAGAGCAGTGTGGGTGCAGCGGGCTGAGGAGGAGGCTGTGGTATCGCTGCACCCATGCCACACCTGGGCCCCTGCTCCGATTCGGTCCGGCCCCCGTGGTACCTCAGGTACTCGGGGGGGGGTGGGGTGGTGAGTCAGGTAACCGGCTCTCCGTGGTACTCAGGTACTTGGGTGTGGGTCAGGTACCGGCCCAGCCCACCTCCCTGGGGTACCTCAGGTACTCACATGTCAGGTACTGGCCTGGCCCCCCCATGGTACTCAGGTACTCGAGTGTGGGCCAGGTACTGGGGTGTGAGCTTTGCCGCCCGGCCCGCACCGTGGGCAGAGACTGGGCTTCAGGATCTGCATGGAACCTTCCAGGCCAGGGGATTCCTGGGTCCCAAGTGGTGGTCAGGTGATCTGTGCTTTCTGGCATGGGTACCATTCCTGGCCGGTGGCAGCAGTCAGTCAGGTGGAGGTGGAGGTCTGGCCCCAAGGCTGCAGCAGTGGGTAGGGTCCTGGCCTGTGCTCCGTCCGTCAGTGCCGTCCCCACACTGCACTCCGTACTCTTGTCACATGCCCTGTTCACACCTCCATCCCCCACTGTGAGCCATGATGTGGGTTGGACAGATCGCGGCACTGCCCAGTGGGCCGACAGACCGCGGGCACTGCCCGGTGGGCCGACAGACCGCGGGCACTGCCCGGTGGGCCGACAGACCGCGGGCACTGCCCGGTGGGCCGACAGACCGCGGGCACTGCCCGGTGGGCCGACAGACCGCGGGCACTGCCCGGTGGGCCGACAGACCGCGGGCACTGCCCGGTGGGCCGACAGACCGCGGCACCGCGGCCCTCGTACGGATGCCTGCTTCACTCTCAGCAGCTGGGGATTTCTGAGATTGGAGTGGAATGGGATACGACCGGAAGGGAGATGAGCTGGTGGGGGCTCGGCACATCTTCTCTGGGGCTGCTGTGGGGTGCACCCCATGAAACGAGGGGCACCTGGCTGTCCCAAGTGGGGCACTGTTGTGTCCAGCTGCCCAGCAGGAGATGTGCTTTCTGTGCCCCGCACGCCCTGCCTTTGCTTTCGGGGGTTGGGGGAGCTGAGTGCTGGGCAGGGCGTCACTCCTTTCATTTGGCGTCCTGACCTCCTCTCGTTCTGGTTATTCTGGTGTGCCCACATTTTACAGACTCCAGTCCATTCTGGCGTGGCTTCCTCAGCTATGAATGAACTGAGAAGAACTGGTTTAAACCGGTTCTTGAGGCTTGGCTGTTTTTCTTTGGTTTCAGAGATGCCTGTTGCCTTCTTTCTCTGGTTTTCTAACGCAGGTCTTGGATGTTTCCTTGTGATGCTTTCTGTCTTTTTGAGCTGCTGTTTGAAATACTCTGTTCAGCTCTTATTTCATCTGCTTTGTTTAGTTTTTTGACATTTTAGAGCCACTTTCAGAATCTCCTCTGAAGTCCCTTTTGGTCTCCCTCCCCCTTGTCTTTTTCTTTTTTACCAAATTGGCAAACGTTTATTGAAGTGTCTGGTATTACCTGTGGCCTTCTAGATCATAGAGGGCGTTAAGTGGAGTGGTTTCCTTGTACTTAAGAGCTCCCGGGGCGTGGTCTAGTTAGAGTCGTGTAAGTTGAAAGAGCTGGAGCGCCGTCACCTGGTCTGTGAGGCCTCGGCAGGAGCGGGAGCTCGTGTCGTTGGTCATGGCGTCTTGGAGATGGTCTCTGAAGTGGGCGGGTGTGTTTCAAGGTTGTACGTTGGTCTTGTTGACTTGGTTTTCTTTGCCTCAACGTGAACTTGACCGTGGGACTTGGATGGTCTGTTCTGGCTGCAGAGATGCTGTCCACTTGCTGCCTGGGTGTTTGATTGGTGGGAGTCTCAAGGTGGACCAAGCCTACACCCCTCGTCTTCCGGTTGATGGTTGGCCCAGTGACCTTCTCTTTGCAGGAGGAAGGGCCCTTTATCTCCTGCTGGGTGCAGGTGCATTTGAACTGCTGACCTTTCAGTCAGGAGCCTGACACCTCGAGCGCTGGTGCTCCCTTCAGTGCAGTTGGCCTTTAGTTGTTGGACCGTGCAGGTGTCGGTGGTTGGTGCAGGCCACACGGTCCTGGGTGCACTGTCGCCAAGGTCACGCTTCCCACTGAGGTTCCTCTCTGTGTCCGACTGTTGCTTCCCAGTCACAGTGATGCTCAGTTTTGCTGTTGGCATGTTTGATCCGTTTCTGGCTGTGGACGTTGGTCGGACGCTTCACTGTCTTCATTTCCGGCCTTGATGGTCCGTGGGTAAAGCCGTCCACCCTGGCGGCAGTGGTGCTGACCGAGCTTCCTGTTGGTCCTGGGATTGTCTCTGACAGCCTTGAACTCCAGGGTCTTGTTCTTTCTGACAACGAGTGAGTGAGGACAGAAAGGTGACAGAAGGGGTGACACCCTGCCCACTGCATCCACACCAGCAGGTGACTCCGCGCCCACAGCACACGCACGCCGGCCCGCAGTGCCCACAGCACCGAGGCGATAATCTGCATGGCCACAGCCGACCCTCCCCTGAGCCCCGTCGCGCCGCAGCGGCCACACATCACAAGTGTGGACTGCAGGGCACACTCAGGACACAGCTTCTCCGAGCTGGGAGCCTGGCCTCTCTGACCTCGAGCTCGGCCCTGCCCTGCATGGTGCCCACACTCCCTGGGAGCCTGGCCTGACGAGCTCGGCTCCGTGGACAAACACCCCGATGTCCTGTGGAGCCCCGACCTGACTCCCTGTCGACCGCCGGTTCTCTGCCCTCTCTGGTTCTGTGCCGTCTGCTGCCGTCTCACTGACTCCTTGCGGTTACGGTGCTTCTGGTCTGGTTTTGGTCCCTGGTGTGAAAGGTCAGCCCCTGGGCCTGCTTAGGTGAAGGCTGGTGGATGGCCGAGCACTGTCCCAGCGTGACCGTTGTACACGTCCTAGTCACCTGCTCCCGCCCGCAGGGGCCACTGACTGAGTTCTCTCCAGCCGTCCAGGCCCCGTGGTGGCCTCACCTGTGGTGTGATGACAGGCACCCCAGGGGGCACGGAGCCAGGCCCTGCTGCCAGGGCCACTCCTCAGCCTGTCGTCCCTGGTGCCGTAGACCGTGTGTGTTCAGAGGACCAGTCCAGGCAGGCCACAGCAGGACCTCCCAACGTGCCAGGCCGCAGGTTTCCGCCTACCCAGTAGCTGTCCTCCCTGGACAGGGCACCAGGCCCGGCGGGTGGAGAGTGTATGCAGCAACCTCTTGGGAGTTGGGGGAACTCGCCAAATCTTTTCTCCCAAGAACCAAGGAAGGAGCACATGGAGGACTCCTGCGTCTCCAGATGTGGGGCCTGGTCCTCTGGCCGAGGTGGGCTGGCCCGCCTGGGAGTTGACCTCCAGTCTCGGTGTGTCTGCTGTCCAGACCGCAGAGCCGGAAGGAACCCTGGCTTGCTCTGTCCATCTGTCTGTCAGTCTATTGAGTAGGCAGTCTCCGACTCTCCTGGGGGCAGGTCAGGGGAGTGCTCCCTCCACCCTGCTGACCGGAAATCCAGCGGGAGGTGGCTCAAGCCTGGGGGTCGTCCGGGCCGTCCTCTGGTGGCGGTGACCTGGGCCCACACTGCCTGTCCTCGGCCCTGGGTCACGAACAAGCCCTGCTCTTCCGCAAGTGCTGGGAGCTGTAAAATGGGTATAGAGTTGAGGAACTTTGCTGTCCGGGTCAGAAACCTCCCGAGGAATGGTGCCCTGGGAGACTGGTCCTTTGGAGGAGGCTTTCTCATTTGGGCAGGCGCGGGTCGGGGAGGAGGCCCCCAGTGTTGTGCCGGCTGTGGACAGGCGAGGCCTGGGCGGGAAGGGGGGGTCAGAGAGGAGGCCCCCAGTGTTGTGCTGGCTGTGGACGGGCTGCCATGTCCCCTGCACGGATGTGGCATAATCGTGGAGCCTCTTGAGTGTACAGTGTGACGTGCATTTGGTGGGTTCTTGAGACCTGGGAGGCCAGTGGGCACTCTGGTGACTGCAGGGTTCCCCTCTCATGTCCGCTGCCAGTGGGGTCAGTTACTCCCTCAGGATGCACAGTGGACAGTGCTCAGCCTTGGGGTCCTGAATGGTCTGGAGGCTGACCTGAGGGGCTGGTCCACTTCTCCCTGTTCCCAGGAAGCGCCCTGTGGGCCCCTCCCTTCTGGGGTACACTCTGCTGTATCGTGTGGCCGGTGGCCATTCCTGGGGTGGCCCAGCCCCTGTGTCACCCCCCCCCCCCATGGACACCTTGTTCCAGCCTGGGCCTCACAGCCTGTAGGCTTGGACGTCTGGTCCCTCCCAGGCACTGTCCTCACTGAGACCTTGTGTGCTGGGTGACCTCCACAGGTCATTGTTCAGGGCGTCGTCACCTGGGCGGGGTTCTGTCCTTGGCTCCCCCACACCCTGCCAGGTGCTGACTGCAGCATGCACTGTCCTTCCGTGCTGGGGTGTGGGGTGGGCAGGGCACCTCTCGGGACCGGGGGGAGGCTCCTGGGGGCTGGGGCAGCCTGATCTGCGCTGCCTCTGTTGAGCTGTGCTGCTCCTCTTCTAGGTCTCACCAATGGCTTTGGGGGTGTGCGGGGTGAGCAGGAGCTGGCCAGCGCCCCGGGAAGGAAAGCAACACCCCGGCGGCGCTGTGCCTCAGAGTCCAGCATCTCGTCCAGCAACAGCCTGCTCTGTGACACAAGGTGAGCCTGGGGGCCCAGGGCTGGGGGGGTGACGCCTGATGGGGACCCGGGGCCAGGGGGTGACCCCTGCCTCCACGTGGGGTCGTGATGGGGGCCAGGGGGTGACCCCTGCCTCCACGTGGGATTGTGGTGGGGCCCTAGACCAGGGAGTGACCTCTGTCTCCATGTGGGGTTACCAGGGGGCCCCTAGGCCCGGGGATGACCCCTGCTTCCATGTGGGGTCATGATGGGGCCCCTAGGCCCAGGGGTGACCCCTGCCTTCACGTGGGGTCGTGATGGGGACCTGAGGCTGGGGGGTGACACCTGCCTCCACGTGGGGTTGCAGTGGGGCCCCTGGGCCAGGGGGTGACCCCTACCTCCACGTGGGGTCGTGATGGGGGCCAGGGGTGACCCTTGCCTCCACGTGGGGTCGTGATGGGATCCCTGGGTCAGGGGGTGTCCTCTGCCTCCATGTGGGGTCACGGGGGGCCCCTGGGCCGGGGGGTGACCCCTGCCTCCACGTGGGGTCGTGATGGGGCCCCTGGGCCGGGAGGTGAGGTGCACATACCTACCTGCCTGTTTCACTGGCTCAGGATTGCCCAGGTCTCTGGGGTGGTGCCCCTCCCCTGTGCGTCCCAACTTGCCTTTGGGGGGTGCAAGGCTAATGCCTCCCTCCTGCAGTTTCAGCACACCCAAGTGCGGCCGGGGCAAGCCAGCCCTGGTGCGCAGACACACGCTGGAGGACCGCAGCGAGCTCATCTCCTGCATCGAGAACGGCAACTATGCCAAGGCTGCGCGTATCGCTGCTGGTGAGCTGGGCTTCAGAGCGTCTGGCCTGCTCGTCTGCTGCAGGGGTGCTGGGGGACCTGCAGGGCTGGAGGTGGGGCCAGGATTGCAGTGTGCACAGGGGTTAGAACTAGGAGTGCTGGTGCCATAGGAAAAGTTAGGGGTGGGGACTGTGGGGCAGGCCTGCAGCCTCAGGGGGGTGTGTTTGAGGGCACATGGGGGGTGAACGTAGAGACCCCTGTGGAGTGTTTGCAGAGGCCTTTGAGGTGGTCAGCAGCAGCGCTGTGGCCCTGGAATTCCCCCCTCCACGGGACCCTGCTGCTTCCAGTGGAGTCAGGCTGGTCCCCGAGTTTATGCACAGAGCTGTGCTGGGGAGGCCTTGTATGGCGGGGCCCAGTCAGGATTTAGGGGTTGGGGCCGGGCTGGGTCTGAGGTCTCTGCCAGGACCCCAGCATTGGATCAGGTTGTCTTGTGCGGGAGCCGACTGGTCGAGCTGACCAGCACCCCACTGTCCCCCACAGAAGTGGGCCAGAGCAGCGTGTGGATCTCCACGGATGCCGCGGCCTCTGTGCTGGAGCCCCTGAAGGTGGTGTGGGCCAAGTGCAGTGGTTACCCCTCGTACCCCGCGCTGGTGAGTGGGCTGGGGGGAGGAGGGCCACAGGCAGCAGGCAGCCGGAGTGGGGTGGTGGTGAAGGGAGGTGGTTACCCCAGGTGGGAGGCCTTAGGGAAGGTGAGTTGAGGTGACGCTGGGACACCAAGGCTCCTGGGTAGGGGCTCCCCTCTCCATGGGATCTTGTGGTGAGCATGTCCTCGGCCCCTAGATCATCGACCCCAAGATGCCGCGGGTGCCTGGTCACCACAACGGTGTCACCATCCCAGCCCCACCACTGGATGTCCTGAAGATCGGGGAGCACATGCAGACCAAGTCGGATGAGAAGCTCTTCCTGGTGCTGTTCTTTGACAACAAGAGAAGCTGGTACGGTGGCCGGTGGGGTGGGGCCTGTGGGTGTCAGGTGGCCAGTGGCGTTGGACTTGTGGGTGCCGGATGCTGGATCTGCCACCTGCAGGGCGTCATCCAGGATGGCTGGGCTGAGTCTGGCCTCTCAGGACTACTGGACGCAGGTCTGGGTACTGATGGCCTCGTCCGTCCCAGGCTTGCCCCCAAGTCTCTGTCTTCTCAGAGTTTCGTACCCTGTCACTGGCTAGGCTGCCTGGAGAAATGCACCTGTTGACAGCCATAAACACAAACATATGTAGATGTAGAGGGGTGTCCACACTGAGAAGCAGACCACATGCTTGTAGAGGCTGGTGCCCCCAGGTCTGCGATCTGACCCCAGGAGAGGGGTCTCCAAGTGGTGAGCAGGCAGCAGGGTCTGAGGCCTAAGTCATGGTCAGGGAGCAGGGTCACAGACAGCTGGCTTTGGAGACTGGCTAGTCCTGTAGGTCACGTCTGGAGACCATAGTCGGGTAACTGGATGCACAAGGACACAGGGCCCCCACAGAGCCATGGGGCCACACCCCCAGGAACCTCCCCTCCATGAGGTGGAGCTGGTGACCCTTTGTGGACTGACATCGATGTTGCCTCCTTCTCGTAGCCGTCTTTTTGGGACCCTCTGGCAGCAGTTCTGAAGCTGACTGTCTCCACCACGCTCAAGGCCATGGTCACAGTCATTGTCAGACTCTCCTTGAGGGTCTTCTCTCCCTCCTCGACCCTCTGCTTTTCCCAGCATGTCGTCCTGAGGAGCAGTTGGTGGCTTTGAACTGCTGTCCGTTATTTATTCCTTTGCCCTCAGCACACCTCAGGGGGCGTGGTGGAACTGCTCACTGTAGTTCACCATTGACGGGCACCAGGGCAGGAGAGGGCTAAGAGGTGATCCCCCATCTACACTGAGGGCTCAGGACTCTGTCCCCGTCTACACCGACTGAGGGCTCAGGACTCTGTCCCCGTCTACACCGACTGAGGGCTCAGGACTCTGTCCCCGTCTACACCGACTGAGGGTTGCAGGGTTGGCACCTGACTGTGCCTTGTCTTGGATGGTGGGAGTGAGTAGTGCGTGTGATGAGGAGTGTGTTTGTGCTGGGGTGATCTGTCCCCAGCCTTCTCTGAGCCTGTCCCGTCTCAGGCCCGTTCTAGCCAGCCAGCTCTGGAGGTGGCCGGTGTGGCCCTGTCCCGTTTCAGGCCTGTTCTAGCCAGCCACGGCTCTGGAGGTGGCCGGTGTGGCCACTGGTGGTCAGCAGTGCAGACCTGCTGTGCGCCGAGGGTGTCCTGGCCGCCCAGCCCGGGGCTGCTTCTGCCTGGGGTCCCTTTGTCCATGCCCGGCTCGGTGCACAGCTTGTGTGTTGTGAGCGGTGTGTACGGTGTTCTCATGGTCCCTCGTGTATCCCGATGCCCCTTGGAGAATGGCCAGCCTTGGGAGGCAGGTCTGGAGAAGCCCGCCTCTGAACTGCTGCCCTGGCCTTTTGAGGTGTCCAGTTGATGGGGGTGCTTTCTCTCCGCGCCCTCGCTGGCCCTGGTGCCTGGGTGCTAGGCATCCAGGCTGCGGTTGTACGGTCAGGAGGGGGCCACCTGTGTGAGGCCTGGTGGTCACCTCCTGTCTTTCCTCCACAAAGGCAGTGGTTGCCCAGATCCAAGATGGTCCCGCTGGGGGTGGATGAGACCATCGACAAGCTCAAGATGATGGAGGGCCGTAACTCCAGCATCCGGAAGGCTGTGCGCATCGCCTTCGACCGCGCCATGAACCACCTGAGCCGTGTGCACGGGGAGGCGGTCAGCGACCTCAGCGACATAGACTGACCACCACCCGGCCTGTCCATAGTGTCCATAGCTGTACATACGTGTATATTGTTGACGATTTAACTTATTCTGATTTCTAGCTAGCTCTTCAGTCCTTTCCGGGGGAGGCACTTCCACTTTTCTACGGCCCCCGCCCGTCGCAGAGCGGCCAGCGTGGCCCACACAGCCCGCCACGGTGCTGCTCCCCCCACCTCCTTCTCTAGCTTTTTTAAAAGAGACTTTTGAATGTTGAATAACTTTTGTAAGTCATACTCTTTACACAGAGTACCACTTATTTAATAAGACGGATGTACATTTACAATGACAAATGTGTATTTTAAGAAAGAAAATGACATTATTTTGAAAGGTACTTTGTGGAAAGAGCTCATCACTCACAGACCACCAAAACACTGCTGTGCTGCCTGGCGGTGCCCGGGCTGTGCCCCCTCCCGTCTGCCCGCCAGCCCCGCGGTACCCCAGCCCGGTCCCCCTCCCTGGCCCCACGGCCCCCCACCCCATCCCTCTGGCCCAGCTCTGTCCCACCACCGGGTGCCCAGCGGGCTATTTATTGTAGAAATTGTATTCATTTGCTTTATAATGAAAATAAATTTACGAAAGTATATTGATATGCATTTTTATACCGGCACATAAAGGTCCACCTCGCTTTGGGAGACTGGGGAGCGTCGTTTATTGACTGGATGGCGTGTGCTTTGATTTTGTAACTTGTAATCTTTTGTTTACAATGAGGGACTTTCTGTAACCTGTTTTAATTTAGAACACTTTGGTAGCAATAGAAACTTTGAATACCTTTTTGTATGGTACATGTGATGTACATAGAATTAGTACTTTATTTTTATTTTTAAGAGGTAAAGCATTATGTTAGGGGAAAGTAGGGAGGGTTTCCAAATTGCATTTTTATATTAAAAAATAAAAGTCAACATTTGGATGCTTGTGGCCATTTCGTTCGTCCTCGTCGAGACGTGGGCTTGGTGGGCGGCAGGGTGGCCTTCCCCGCCGGAGGGCACTGAGCAAGCTTGGCAGACCCCGTCCTTTGAGGGGCCTCACCACTGCACCACCAGGGCCCAGTGTTGTCACCAACGATGTCACGTCTACACGCAGTCTCCTGCGATGGCTTTGTCAGGCCAGGCACTTGTGTTCTCTGCCCCAGTCCCTTCCCAGTGGCCGGTAAAGTGGCCGAGTGATGGAGAGAGGGCCCTGTGGGGACACTGGCCTCGGGACCACCTTTCCAGGCTGAGAGGCGAGTGTGTGGTTACAGGAATGCCAGTTCCCGTCCTTCCAGGGCTGCTGGTGAGGGGAGGTGCAGACCATGGGGATCGAGCTCCCCAGAGATGGTGACAGCCAGAAGGTGAGTATGCCACGGCCTGGGCCTGTGTCCCCTGCCTGGGTCACGTCAGCGTCCCCAGCCAGGTAGGCTGCCCTAGGCTCCTGTGAGGTCAGCAGACTGTCCATCCCAGGCCGGGCACCCACTCTCGACACCCCGGAGGCTACCAGGTGCTGTCTTCAGCCTGGCTCAGGTTTTGGGGCTCAGCCGTCTCTTGGACAGTCGGAAACTGATGAGACTGAGCGTCCTGACCCTGGACTTCCTCGGGTGGGCAGGCAGCGGCCAGGGCACCAGCCCACCAGCCGGGAGCCCAGCCCGCCGCTGCCAAGGCCCTTCTTTTTCATTTCCTGCTGCTTGTTTGATTTTTTTTTTCTTGTTAGGTGCCGTCAAGTCATTGACAGCTCACAGTAACCCTCCCAACACCTGAGGCCTGTGCCCATCCCGTGGTCCTCACCTCGACGCACCTGAGCCCCTGGGGGTTTAGGTGCATTTCTTCTGCGTCTCCAGCTCTTTCTCTGAACTCCTCTTCCGTCTTTCTGTCTTTCTGCTTGAAGTCTCCCTTTACACCCCTCCAGGTTGAGTTTGACTGTTTTCTTCCACTGCCCAGGCTGGTTTTGTTTCTTTGGGTACGTTTTTGTGGTTTGGTTTGGTCTGGCAGTGGGCACTGAGAGTGTGGAAGGGGAGTAGAGCTTTGGAGCTCCTGCTCCGCCCACAAGCCGATGACAGGCCTGCAGCAACAGCAGGTCCGCCCGCCCACCCTGCTGACGGGTGAGGAGAAGGAGGAGGGAGCCGTGTGCACCCCTCACCCTCTCTCAGACCCACCAGTGAGCAGGTGAGGCCCACACCCGGCATGGCCCCCTCAGATACGTTAAGTCCGCATTCACAGCCAGGAGCACTGCTGTGTCTCAGAGGCAGCAGGTAACTTTACATCTGTCAAAAAATCAAGAACAGATGCCACCAAAAAGGGAACTAAGCCAGACCCTTTCAGAGGAGAAGCTAGTGGGACATCCCGGTAAAGTATTAAAAATAATGCAGTTAGTGTCCTCTCAGATCGAGAAAAGGACAGAAAATAGAGAAGATTTAAAAGAAAACGGAAAATTAGAAACAGTACAAAAAGAGCAAATTGAAGTTCTGAATGTTATACCAAGATTTTGGAAATAGCTAACACGTTAGGACGAAGGTGCAGAACTGTATTGGTGTAACAGCCAGTAAAACAGGACAGAGTCCTCAGTGCCCGTCTGTTAGAAGAACAATCAGAAAAAAAATAATGCGTAACAGGAGTGGCATCCACATCCTAAACCACATGCCTCTGGAAACTATGAACTTTGATAAATGATGATAGTTACAGAAAGGCTTCAGGCTTTTTGTTCATAGGTCACTATGAGTTGTGTTCAACTCAACAACAACAACAATTACATGAGACAATGTGAAGAAGAATAACTTACTGTGTGCTTGGAATTCCAGAACAAAAAAATTGTACAAATACACAGAAAACGATTTGCCAGAAGAAAATACCCCAAATATGAAAAATTAGAAAATAGCACTCCAGAAGTTGAGCGACCCCCAAAGAAAGCAAACTCTGAGAAACATCACCCGATTTTCCCAAATTGAAGAACACTGCCTCAGGGTTGGAGGAGGACGTCGGTAACCTGTGTGGCCACAGCCTTGCTTGCTGGAAGCGGAGAGGACTTGACGCCCTTGATCTCATATCCCAGCCTGCAGTGCGGCTCGTATCTCAACAGTGAGATGAAAATCCTCACCGCCGGGCCAATAGGCAGCTCATGATAGATGCATAAAAGATTGAAACTGTCTATGATTTGATTTGCTTGAAGCTGCAGTCAGCACCCCTGGTATCAGCAGTCAGCAGATCAGATGTAGGGAGCTCTGGTGGCCGAGTGGCCAGAAGCTGTGCTGCAATCCCCAAGGTGTGTGGTTCGAATCCACCAGATGCTCCACTGGAGAAGGATGAACAGTCTCCTTCTGTGCCAGATTCGATGGTACACAACAAGGAAAAAAAATAAAAGCCGTATTGTGGGCGGCTTCCTGGGCCGGCGTTGTGCAGCCAACTCTCAGGCTCACATCACCAGGAGATCCGCAGCGGATAGACCGTCTCCTCCAGGGAGTTTGCTGCCTCTGAAGACCGCTGGAGGGTCCGCTGTGAGTCCTGCTGGCAAGTTGTGAAGCTGTGAAGGAGCAACGATGTCCGTTAATGACCAAGGTGCGCCGAGCTCATCTTTTCTGTTACTTGCAGTGCATGTGAGAAGTGGACAGTGAGGATAACAGAAGAGGAATGCCTGGCTTGGAGTGTTGGTGTAGAGAAGGGCGCTGACCAGCCGTGGACTGCCAAAGGGAAAGAGAAAACGTCTTGGAGAAAGTGCAGCCGGAGTGCTCCTTGGAGGCAGGGATGGTGAAGCTTCGGCTCTCACGCTTTGGGGCCTGTTGTTAGGTGGGGACGTCCTGGCAGAGGTACAGTCTGCTTGAAAGGTGGAGAGTCAGTACGAGAGGAAGAGATGGAATGACAGGTGACGGTAACAGTGGGCTCAAGTGTGACAGGTGAGGGCACAGGATGGGACAGGGTTCAGATCCACTCATCCTGGGGTTGCTATGATTGTAGCCAACACCATCTAGTCATGACAATAAGACTAAGCTTCAGTTTATCAACAAGAACCATGCAGACAAAAAAGGCAACAAATGGGTATATATAACCCTGAAAGCAAAGAAAAATGCCATCCAGGAATTATATACTCAGAAAAAGTGTCCCTCAAATATGATGGTGAAATTAGGGAATTTGTGCAAACTCAACCAATCTTACAAGAAATCCTAAGGAGAGTTCCTTGGAACACTAGCCTATACAGAACACAATTCAAATGGACGTATGACACCATTCAGAAACTGGCCCAGAAACAAATAGATCAGGTATAAAAACAGACTAAGGCTAGGAAACAAGAATGAGTTTGTCAACGAGGATGTCCGTCAGGCAAGAGGGATGAGGTGTGGAGTCCCAGAAGCCGGAGTTGAGGATGGAGGCAACTATTTTAGACTTGGGAACAAATGAGTAAATGTGACGCAAACTAGGAAAAAATAATACGCAGAGAGGCCCGGTTCATTGGGTCATCAAACAACAGACGTGGAGGTGTGGAGAGACCGGACCTCCTGCACGGCTGTGGGAAGGCACCACGGCGGCGCTGCCCTTGGAAGCTGGAATAGGAATTCCATGTGGGTCAGCAGGCCCGACGTGGGCAGAGCCGCCCCGACGTGGCAGAGCCGCCCGACGTGGGCACAGCCTGCGGGAGCCTGGGGTTCTTGCTACACTGTGGGCACTGACAGAGTCGGAAACCTCCCGTGTGCCCCACAGTGGAGGAGGATGGAAGGAGCTGTGGTGAATCCACATAGAAGAAACCTTAGAGCTGTAACGAGGACGAGGCAGGCAGAGGGCAACGAAAGGGAACAGTAGGTGAATGGGTAAAGATAAGGACACTGGGCAAGAAGGGTTTGACTGGAGGCTCCAATTAGTGACATTAATTTTAATTAATGTTACCAAGTGTCTATAAGTGGAATGAAAATACAATCTGATTTGTAAACTTCTGTTCAAAAAACCCACAAATATATGAACAAGAGGAAAATGAGACTCGAAGTCAGGAGGACTCCCGGCTGACGCACAGGCGGGTAGAGGGGCTGC